GAGAGAGGTGTGCGATGCCTGTGTTAGTAGTTTCTCAGAGCCACACAGACAGTATCCACTCCTATCTTAATAATCATGTTTGGCTTTTCGAGGTCACATGCCCAGGAGAGTAAAACTGTGGGGAAGAGCCACTACAGATGGGAAAAGAGAATTTGATGGTATAAAGACCATGATTTAAGCACTTTGTCCTGATTTCTCTGCCCTCCCTCTTTTTGTGACACTGTAGGCAACACATGTCAGCTTCCATGTGTCACATGTAGCTGTATGTCATTCTGTCTTTGGTCAGTAATAGCATGTCTCATCATAATAAACAGCATTAAGGAACAAGCTGCTGTGGCCTTGTCTCCCCATTCCTCAGAGAGATTTCACCCTCAGATCTACAAGGCCTGACTTTCAGAGAGCTGCTTTATCCCTTATGTTTACACGGCTGTGTGTCTGTCTGTCGTTCCCTAGGACACACTGAAAGCAAGCCGCCTCCGTGTCCACGCTTCAGAGCAAAGTCACAATGGAAAGAATCAGCAAACCTCCAGGAAGTTCCTTGGGCGTGCCTCATTCAGTCACCCTCAGCTTCCTAGTGACAAATCCCTCTTCACATTCTACTGTGGAGCCTTCCCAGGTAGAAAGGCAGGTCTCAACGGTGAGAAGCCTAAGGTCTATATTGACTTGAACACACCTAATGTAGCATTCCCTTGAGAACTTAGGCTTGTCAAATGCTACTTCTTCTTGCCCCTTGCCCTTGAGAATAGAAGAGTCCACTTAGTGTGGGAACGAGGTTCTGACAGACTCCCCTTTGTCTAGTGCTTAACCATATGAAGCCTGTCACATACAAGGACTGAGTCTGGATGATCGCCCACCTACCAGCAAACTGTTTAATTTTACTGAGGCCATGTCTTGCTCTGTGGAATGAGGAGAACATCACTGTGAGCCTACAGTGGGGATTGCATGGGTTAGCACATGTAAAACATGGTGTGTGATTTCCTTCCCGCATTTAGTTCTCGGCCACTTGAGTTACCATTGCTGTTATTCTTACCATCACCTGACTCAGCCAGCAGGAGGCCAGATAGTGAGACTGAGGGTCCCCTGCCTGCCATGGCAAAGCCATGAGCACCTCAGTGTTCACACTCTCCCTGATTTTCTTCTCATAAGCCAAATTTGCTTACGACTTCTATTCTCTATTCATCTGTATACATACGTTAATTATATATTAATTTTATACACAAAAAAGGCACTCGGGTTACAGTATGATGGTATATATTTCAAATCCAAGCACTCAGACTGCACACCAAATTAAGACCACCCAGCATCACATACTGAGTTTCAGACTAGCTACCCGGGGCCACAGTATGAAACCCTGCTCAAAAAAGGAAAATTGAGGGCTAGAGGGAGAGTTCAATGGTTAAAAGTACTAACTGCTCTTCCAGAGGATCCCAGTTCAGTTCCTAGCATCCATGTTTGACGGCTCACAACCATCTCAACTATCTATAACAAGATCCAAGGGGACTGATACCCTATGGCCTCTGCAGGAGGGTAGCATGTATCAACACACACTTGCGCACACTCGCGACACATGCATGCACACATGCTCAAATAATAAAAACCAATTTCTAAGAAAAGAAAAAAATAACAAGAGTTAAAACTCAGCAGCTCACTCTATCCCTACAACTGACAAGTTTTTATTCCTACCTGTTTCTACAGACAAACAAGGTAACATGAAACTCCACAAGGCCAGAGGCGGCTGCTTGTCACAGGAGCCTCCTGTTGAAAGACGCCTTTTCCCTCCTATAGCGTCTGTCATTGGCTCAGAACAAAATACCTATGGGGAAACAAAGAAAAAGAAGGTAAAGGGTGGGGGGGGGGAGGGAGGCGAGAGGATGTGTGTGTGTGTGTATGTATGTGTGTAGTACCTGTGTGTATGTGTGTGTATATGTAGTGTCTGTGTGTGTCTGTGTATGGTACCTGTGTCTGTGTGTATCTGTGTACATACATATGTGCATTTGTGTGTGTCTATATGTGTGTTCATGCATGTGTATATGTGTCTGTATGTGTCTGCCTATGTGTGTGTGTGTCTTTGTGTGTGTGTGTGTCTTTGTGTGTTTGTGTGTTTAATCCCATCTAGAAATAGAATCACTCAGAGGGCTGTCTCTGAGCTTGCAAGGTGACGTTGGAGTGAGTGCTATAGTAATATACTGTTGGAAGTCATGGAGTTTCAGTGGCTGCGATCATTCCTTAGAGCAGCAGAATCCTTTGTTCTGTTAGGGGTCAGGGAGTCTCTCCAAACAAGGAAGGGCAGAATTTGAGCTTGTGAGCAACTGGTTCATCACCAATTAAAAATGCTGGGGAAACTGAGTCCAGCAATGTTTGCTCAGTTGTGGCTCTGTCACCTTGCAAACGTAGGGAGGGAAGTTTGGCAAGCCTGTGGACTCCTTTCATGGGTCAAGAATGCCAGCAAGATGGTACAGCCTGTAAAGCCTCTTGCCTTCAAGCCTGGTGACCTGACTCAGTTCTGGGACTCACATGACAGAATTCCAGTACTAACTCCCACAGTTGATCTCTGACGTCCACAGGCACACAGTGGTAAGCACCCACTCACATATAAATAAATAAGTAAATCAATACATGTAATAAAAATTCTAGAAGTCACAGACACTTCTTCTTTAAGATGACTCTGGCCATCTCTGACCTGACCCTGCTTCACAATTCTGTATAGGACTTTGGTGTTTAGGAAGCATCAGTGATGGATAAGTCATGTAGAAACTCCAAAATGTCCTGCCCCACAGCTGCTGTGTGAATGTGGGCAGGTCACGTCTTCTTAGGCACAAGAGCCTGTCTGGAAACAGATGATGATGTGAACCTCGCAGGCTGGCAGAAGGTCGAGAGATGATGTACTTAGGACTTTCTTAGAGTCCATTGGAAAGCACTGAATGAGGACCCTCACCGACTTAAGTGGCTCTGCAGGAACACAGGCGCTCCAGGCACTCCTGGGGCCAGTAATGGATGCTGTTTTCATTCATTCAACACTGTTTGGGTGGTCCTGAGTCTGAGCTGTCTTCTCCTGTTCCTTTGGGCCAGGAATAAAGAGCAGACTTTAACTCCAGCATCACCTCAGGATCCACACAGGCCTGTGGAAAGCCTGAACTCTCATACCCAGCCAGTCCAGACCCATGCCAGGCTCAGAGGAAAGGGACACCTTTGAATCCCATGCATTCGTTAACATAGGAAACCGATATTTTCCACTGTGTTAAAACCCTGTGTCAATTTCTAATTAGAATAAAGAAATTAAGGCTTGGCTTGTCAGCCATCCCTCACACAAGCAGTCTGAGTTCCCACATGGCTTTTTCAATGCAACCCTTGTAAAACAGACCCTACAAGGTCTGTATTCAAAGCAAGGCCGTTAGCAGGCAACACCTGCACTAGGAGGGTCTCCAGAAACAGATATCCTATGTGTGTATGTTTGGCTAATCATTTTCTTAATGTCTCAAAATTATAAATGTTACTTTGCGTAAACTGGATAAAATTTCCTTCCTCAATCAACCCCAAATATGTTGGATGCTTCTGTGTGTTTCTGATTTCTGATTTTCTTTTTTCTTCCCTTTTAAGCACTGAGAGAAAAAAAATCTTTTTATTTTTCTTCCTCTGAAATCAAACTGTCTGAAAGCATCTACACTTCTCAGAGCACTAAATTCATAGGCCAAACGCTCCAAAAACAAAAAGCAAAGTGCTCTGTAGTGTCTGAATGACAAATGACTGGAAACTGGGGGATTCAAGTATTACCTTATGGTATCTATCCCCCAACATACATACATATAACATCATACATGTGTCAAGGGGGCTGAGTGTGTGTGTGAGTGTGTGTGTGTGTGTGTGTAGGAAGTAAAAACCAAGCCAAATGAGTTGTTTAAGCTGGCACTTGGTTTTTACGTAAGTCATAAAAATAATCCACATTCCAAACACTACTGTGACCATATATGTTAATTAACTTATATCTCCGGGCTTTGCGGCATATGAAGTCTGATCATGCCCTTATTTTAAGGAAGAAGTTGAGGCCTAGAAGTTATCACAGGGAACCAGGCAGACATGACTAGTCCCAGTCTCCACCCCTTCTCACTGGAAGTTGAAGTGTCCCGCACCCTGCCCACCTTGCTTGTCTCCTTAACAATATATTTGGAGATCCCTCATTTATCAATACACAGCAAGCCCAGCCCTGTCACTTAGATCCTTGTCATTCTTCCCAGTCACAATAGAGACTTACTCTCTCAAAGGCTTTCATGGTAGGGAGAGAGGAGTTTGGGGGGGGGGTCTCATGAAGCACAGGATGGCTTTGAATTTGCTGTTTCACTGTGCAGGGTCTAGAATTCATGATCTCCTGCCTCCACTTCCTGAGTGCTGGGATTCTGGATGTGGACCACCACACCTGGCTCTCTCAAAGATTCTCTAACTTATTGTGTTGATAAATCAACACAATTTATCACAATAAATCAGAAGAATCAAGTAGGAAGGATGAGGGCATTCGAAGAATTCCCTGGAGACATCAAAGCAACACACTCCACGAACAAACACCACAGCAATGGGCATGGCTCCCAGCTGATTATCTTTGCTTCTCCTTAGCAGCTATTTGTATAAGAAATGCAGTAAGACACAGTGTCATTTGCCCTCTGCAGGCAGCAGAGTTTGGATATCTGCCATGTTGGTTTTGTGTTTAAACTTTCTCCAGGCACCAAGGGCTCTGAAATTGCCTCCTGTTTCAGAAGAACCACCCAGAGTCCTGAAACCCCTGAGGAGCCTATTTAAAGGCAATGAACCCCCAAAGGAGCTCTTCATTATCCCGATGGAGATTCATTTTCATGCCCCACAATCCTCAAAAGAAAAGGCCAGCAGAAGAGGTGGGTCCCCTGCTGATGGAATTTGATCAAGACAGAAAGGGATAAGAGTTGGGGTCCCTGCCAGTCCAACCCATCCCAAAATGATGGCTGGGAGTTTCCTGAGGTCATCCCTTTTCTAAACAAAGGAAAGGTAGCAAAATATGTAGGTCTCTTCTGATCAAATCCAATTCGATTCTATAACTATCTGCCCAGCCCTCCATTATGCAGTTCATGTTACTAAACCTGGGAAAGAGGACAAACAAATATCTGTAAGTCCTGGTACTGTAGGTAGTAGAGAGGTGCAAGAATCTTCAGGTAGCTGGAATATATATATATATATATATATATATATATATCATTAAAAAGCAACCAAGAATGGAATTGAAAAGAAAAATTGCCCTAGTTAGGGTTACTTTTACTTGTAACAAAACATCACGACTAAAAGCAACTTGGGGAGGAAAGGGTTTACATGGTTTATATGCACAGAGTCATTGTCCACTGAGGGAAGCCAAAGCCGAAACTCAAACAGGACAGATTGTCCACTGAGGGAAGCCAAAGCCGAAACTCAAACAGGACAGAAACCTGGAGGCAGGAGCTAATACAGAGGCCAGGGAAGGATGCTGCTGACTGGCTTGCTCAGTCTGCTTTGTTATAGAACCAAAGACCACCAGCTCAGGGATAGCACCTCCCACAATGGGCTGGGCCCTCCCATATCAATCACTAATTAAGAAAGTGCCCTACAGCTGGATCATATGGAGGCATTTTTCTCAACAGAGGTTCCCTCCTTTCAAATAACTCTGGCTTGTGTCAAGATGGCATAAGACAAGGCAGGACTAAAACTTGGATTAAAAAATCAGAGAAATTGATATCAGGCAACTTGAAGTCAGTGCTTAGGTAGACACTAGCTTTACTTGGCTGTGCTCCCTAGCAGCCAAGGTCAATGATTGGCTATTAGGATCTTCATCTTATAAAAAGAAAATTTGCCCAAAAGAATCTTTTTGATTTTTAAAATTATTTTATTGTCTAAAAGATGATCTCTACCGTCTTTGTCAGGAAAAGGATTCCTAAGTTGTTTTGCTGGCTGTGACCTTGTGCGACATGGACTCTTAGCTACTGGGACATCACTCCTCAGTCTGGGACATAAAAGAACTCCCATTTTAAGGGAGTCAGAGCCTTCTAAAAACATCAACAGAAACAACCCCTGATTTCTTTTTTTTTTTTTTTTTTTTTTTGAGACAGGGTTTCTCTGTGTAGCCCTGGCTGTCCTGGAACTCACTCTGTAGACCAGGCTGGCCTCGAACTCAGAAATCCGCCTGCCTCTGCCTCCCAAGTGCTGGGATTAAAGGCGTGTGCCATCACTGCCTGGCTCAACCTCTGATTTCTTACAGAGTTTTGACTTCTAGAAATTATACAGGAGGTCATTTTGTTCCAAGGCCGTTTGGAATTCTTGCAGGGATGAATGCTTCATCCTCAGCATCACCCAAAAGGAGAGAGCAAGGAGGAAGAGAAGAGGGCAGGGAAGAGGGGAAGGGAGACAGGGAGGAACAGTCAGGCTTGGATCCCTGCCCTGGAACCAATCATTGTGGCTAAAATAATGAGGTCCTTTAATAATCCAGGCTCAGTCACATGGAGTCAGAGAATGAACACAGATTTACCCAAACTCCATTGTGCAAGCAAGGAAGGGATAGGTCTCCACAAAGACAGGGCACCTGGTAAAAACAGCTCAGCTTTCTCTTTGCCTTCTAGGTGCTCAGCACCCCGAGTCAGAACCAGAAGAAGCCACACCTTTATGGCAGCCTTCCATGACACAACTGTACTTAGGAAGGCCAAGGGACATAACGGTGCATCTCCCAGTGGACAGCAGCCAGGACACACCCTCACCTCAAGGTAGTTCCTCTCTCCCTCCAGCATCCCACAAGGCAAGGGACAGAAGGGTCCTCAGTGGAGACACAGGAGGCTGCCAGGAAGGTTAGTCCATGCCCAGCCTCCTGAAGGTGTCTGTTGTTCGGGCAGCAACTGTGCCTTAGCCCACACATTTCCATGCAGCTTACAGCATCTAGCTCCCAAAGACTTACCCACTGGATCATTCCTTCTTAATATTTTCTGCTTACAGATGCAAACTGGTGCTATCTTGACTAAAAACTTGCTGCATACCATGTTACTAATCTTGCTTTTAAGCAATGAAACTTCATTTCTAATCTTTTATAAATATGTGCTTATTCATTTAAAAGTTTGTAATATTGATTAAAAATCTTCACATTTCTCAAAATATATAGTCATCAGAAGTTATGCACATAGGGCCAGGTGTAGTGTGCACACCTTTAGTCCCGATGCCCAAGAGGCAGAGGGAGAAGGATCTCTGTGCGTCTGAGACCAGCCTAGTCTACAGAGCAAGTTCCAAGACAAGTAGGGCTACACAGAGACCTTGTGTCAAAAAAAAATTAAAAAACAAATTTTTAAAAAATAATAAAGAAGTTATGTACATGGATATGTTAAAGTATATATTTTAATGAAGTAAATAGGTTGGGGGGTATGAGTCATGTATGGAAAGTCTCCATTTTCAGAAACCTGAGCTTTCTTCCAAAAGACCTGTGATGACAGTCATGAGTGACAGGTAATCACCAGGCACCCCAGAAGGAAGCAGAGGGGTGCACATTGACTTATATTGTGTGCCCCTCATGACAATGCTGCCTTCATTTTACAGACCAGAAAATGGAATGTCAAGAGCTAAGGAACTTCCAGGAAGCCATACAGCTCCTCGTGGCCTGGCTAACACTAGAGGCCAGAGCCTCCCGCTACTTAACTCCGTGTCCTGCCCATTCCCCAATGCCTTGAGAATAGATACAGGGAAGAATCTAGGGCAGGATGCTCTTGAAAGGAATTACCAAGATAGAGGCATAGTTAATCGGCCTCTTATGTGAATGTCAGTCACCTGCTTTGCAGCTTCTTAGATCTAGTACCGACAAGGACTGTCCTCCCTCACTTTCTAGTTCCCAGCCAGAGCCACAGAGATAAAGACAGCATTGTTCATCCTGTGCTGCCCTCCACTCCTTTTGACCTACTATATTTACCCACTGGGGGCTGAGAGTCAAGAGTTAGCCCATTTTTGACTGCTATGCCAGGTAGAAGCTGGCCTAAAAAGTCTCGGAAGAGTCAGGATGGATTAGTGCAGTGTATGACCCAACCTTGCAAGAAAGGGAGCCCATGGAGGTTCCTGAGCTCAAGGCCATCCCCAGAAAGTGAAGCCAACTCAGCCAATAGAAAGATGCAGAGGAGGCAAGCCTCCTCACACAGTATGTCCCCCACAGAGCTGGTGCACAGCATTGAGAGCTGGAGAGTATCTGTCCCACGGCCACATGGCTGCACAAGTCCGTCTGCTTGCTCAGCCCTAGAACACTCCCCCTTAGTAGCCCAGACGTGAAGCCGGCTTTTATGCCTTCACATAGGTACATACACGCATTTTCGTTCACTATGTGGGGTAAGTTGCAGATATTAGACGTTCCATCAGGATATTCTCATCTCAAGCACAATAGTTATCATATTCAAGAAAGTTTGTTTGTTTGTTTGGTTGGTTGGTTGTTTTGTTTTGTTTTGTTTTGTTTTGTTTTTTTGAGACAGGGTTTCTCTGTGTAGCCCTGGCTGTCCTGGAACTCACTCTGTAGACCAGGCTGGCCTCGAACTCAGAAATCCACCTGCCTCTGCCTCCCAAGTGCTGGGATTAAAGGCATGAACCACCACTGCCCGGCCACATTCAAGAAAGTTAACATTAGTGCAGAAACGTTTTCCAATATAAAATCCTTATTCAACTTTTTCTCATTATAACAGCGTTCTCTATCATTTTTTTGACTTTTTTCCCCCAAATCAAAATTTAACTCAGGCCCATGCATTTAGCTGTCACTGCTCCTCATGGTCATTTAACCCTTTAGAATTCTCTACGCATGTTCTGTTGTTCAGGTTATTGTTGCTGGTTAGGTTAGGTTAAGTTAGGTTAGGTTAGGTTAGGTTAGGTTAGGTTAGGTTAGGTTAGATTTGGTTTTTTGAGACAGAATCTCATGTAGAAATTTAGCCCAAGCTGGTTCCAAACTCACTGTGTAGCTAAGGGTGACCTTGAACTTCTGATTGTCCTGTTTCTGTCTCCCAAGTCCTGGAATGACAGTTGCTCGTGGGTACATCAGGTTCTAGGCTAGTTTTTTATGACATCAGTGTCAGTGTGTTCCATAGGAGGTGATGCTAACCTGTACTAGGCCAGAGGTGTTGTATGACAGACTTCTCCACAGTGTGGAAATACTTCTGTTAGGTGTGGTGGCTCACACCTTTAAATCCAGCACTCAGGAGGCCGACTCAGGTAGGTGGATCTCTATGAATTCCAGAACAACCAAGACTATGTAGAGAGTCTCTGCCTCAGGAAGGGGAAAAGTACTTCTTTCTATAATTTTCTGAGATTGTGTATGAAGCTAGCTTGTAAGCCTAAAGGAAATGGTTGTGTCAGATATAAAATAAAGGCCATTGTCTCCGAACAACAAAGTCAGGCTTTTGGGAGTGAGGTCCCAGGTTCTGTCTTCCTAGGGCAGAGAATGTTGGGTCTGAGAGGAGAAGAGAATGGAGGTGAAGGGGAAAAGGTATTCTCTGGATGGCTTTTTGTTTTTGTTTTGTTGTTGTTGTTTGTTTGGTTGTTTTGTTTTGTTTTTGAGACAGGGTTTCTCTGTATAGCCCTGGCTGTCCTGGAACTCACTCTGTAGACCAGGCTGGCCTTGAACTCAGAAATCCACCTGCCTCTGCCTCCCAAGTGCTGGGATTAAGTGCGCCACCACTGCCCGGCTTTGTTTTTGTTTTTATCAGTCCTATGGTCCTCTGTCTACCATCTGGAGGGTGGTATAGTTGACCCTCCTTTCCAAAGTGCTCACTCTACATTCACAGATTCAACCAACTACAAATCAAAAGTATTTGGGGGAAAAAATCAACTGTACTAACACCTCCCTTTGGGGGCTACTTTCCCCTAACACTATACAACCATTTGCATAGCATTTACATTGTATCCGATATTATAAGGAACCTAGAAACAACTATACAAGGGAATGCATGTGGTTATAAGTAAATACCATGCCATTTTATATAAGGAACTTAAGCATCTGAGAATATGTGTGTCCACAGTCTATCCTGGAGTCAATACACAGCCATATCTTATACCTTGTGTACCTTGAGAACGGAATTTGATCACTGGCTTTGTCTAAAACAAACTACTGCTTTTTCAGAAATCTGTATCTAGCTGGGTGTGATATCAAAGGCCTGTGATCCTAGCATTTGGGAGACTGAGGCAGAGAGACCAGGCTTGGATGCCAGACCGTGCTGTATAATACTATCTCAAAGGAAAAGAAACTGTATCATAGCCGGGCAGTGGTGATGCATGCCTTTAATCCCAGCACTTGGGAGGCAGAGGCAGGCGGATTTCTGAGTTCGAGGCCAGCCTGGTCTACAGAGTGAGTTCCAGGACAGCCAGGGCTACACAGAGAAACCCTGTCTCGAAAAACAAAAACAAAAACAAAAACAAAAAAAAAAGAAAGAAACTGTATCATAATCAAAATCCTCAGAGCCCTAGTACTCAGAGCCTTCACCCTGGAGGTTTCCAGCCCCTCAGTCCTGTTCCCATTTCTGAGTCTGATCTATGACAGGAACAGCTGTCACTTCTCCATTCCTCCCCACTCTGGGAAAGACCCCTGTTCTAGCCAAGAGCAATGTCACTCGGCCACTCTCTACTCCTTAGCAGGTCTGGGAAAGAACAAAGCTAAAAACAAATCGAGCCATCATGCCTAACACCAGTAGCTATCAACCAACCCAGAAAAAGACAAACTCTGATTTTCCTGATTCAAAGGTTTTCCATTCATGATTTTTTCCATTTTGCTTTAGAAGATGGTGATATCCTGGCCCAGAGTGTGACTCAACCCCTGGGTCTCCTACCCCCAATTAAAGGAAAGAAAAGTCCAGAGATGCAGAGAGACATGGACAGAACCAGGACATCAGGCTTCAATAGTCCCACAGGTCGCCTGAATGAGAGGGCACCACCAGTAGGACCAGGTAATCATCTAGTGCATAGAAACTCTACCCCATTGTCTACCCTATTAGCTTTTTTTTTCCAGTACAGGGCTGCCAGGCAGCCAGGAGCTAGCTCCCCACTGAAAAGGGGAAATGGTATTTCCAACTATATTAGTGAAATCGGTGTTCAGCCATCCCCTGAAGGTTTGCTGCACCAATACACACCAACAGCTGTTTCCTCCTCCCAGCAACCGTGGTGCTGACTTAGCTCCCTGAACTCCTAGGGTGCACATCATACTCAACACCACTCCAAGCCTGAACCCTCCCTGGGCACAGGAACCAATAGACCTTGCCTTAGATAGTTAGCCCAGGGCAGAACTGAGGCCTGTTCACAGGAGGAAAAGGATGCTGCATTCCTATTGGAGATGGAGCATGGCAAGCCATTCCCTCTGTAACTGAGCCCCACTGACACACTGGCAGGCAAGGTGGAAACACTTGCCAGCACGGTGCAGTAGCAGCTGACACAAGGACTTTGAACTGTAGGCAGTTCAGAAAGCAAAAGTTGCTGAGAATCTCAAGAAAGATGCCATGCTGGAAACTGACAGGCTGTTATCAAAGAAGCGCAGCTGGAGACTCGAGAGCCGGCTCAGCAGTTAAATGCATTTGCTCTTTCCAAGGACTCCTGGTTCTGTTCCCAGCACAAGTTGGCTCACAACCATCTGTTAACTCCACTTCCAGGGAATCTGATGCCCTCTTCTGGCCTCCTTGGTCACTGGGCATGTACATAGTGCATATGCATATATTCATACATACAAACACCCATACACATAAAATAAAAATAGTAAATAATAAATCTTAATATAGTTTTAAAATGCAACCCATTCACTGTTCCTCCTCCCTTAGAGCCCTGAGCCACTTCCTCCTCTGGGGAGCACCACATGAAGGAGCTAGCAAATGTGGAAAAGTCAGGTTATGCAAAGCAAGAGGCATCTCTGTTCACAGAACAACTCATACTGAGAGAACAGGGGGCCAGAGAGCCTCAGGAGACAGCAGTTAGACTCCTTCCCTTTCATGCTACTTGGAAACAGACTAGCTATTTAAATCAGTCACTTTCCCCTGCCCCCATCTCTCTCCCTTTCCATCTCTCATTCTGTCTCCAAAGCATGTGTGGCTGAATTCTTGTAAGCATAAATTAAATATTTAAGTCAATAACTCCGTTCCATGTTTGTAGCTTCTCCGTCTAGGGCTGAGGTAGTCAAAATCAAATCCCTTCCTACCCACTCCTTTTTCTGTCCCAGTGTCTTCGAGCTTTACTCTCAGCTTCATCCCCTTACACATGATGCAAAGGACCCAAGTTTGACCAGTGTCCCTTCATCAACAGGGCCATCCTGGAGGTCAATAGCCCCAGACAAATCATAACACACATACACACAGAGTCTTGGGTCACCTCATAAAGGGAGGACATGATGAGACTAGAATAGCTCGCCCAGGACTGAGACAGGAAGTCTCAAGTGTATGTACTGAGGGTGTGTGAATGTGTGCCAGAGGGTGCATGTATGCTCATGGATCTCAAACTTGTAGTGGTATATGTATGCTTATCTGTCTGCGTAAGAACATGTGTGCTGTGTCCATAATACATACCTGTACGTGTCTAAGCATGTCTTAGCACATGTCTAAAATGAATTCAAGTCTGTGACAGAGTGAATGTTTCCCTGCATGTGGGCCATTGTTTGTATGTGACATATATACAAGCTTGCATGCCTACATGTATGAGGCTGTATATCTTTTAGATATCTTTTGTGTCTTTTAGAGTATGTACATATATGCACATGTGTATGTATCTTTATGTATATTTATGTTTGTAAGTGAATTGTGTATATGCCCCTTGCATCCACTCCAGCTGGAGGCCTGCCTTATTACTGCCCCTTTGCCTTGGAAACAGGAAATGGAAGAGTAATATAATATGAGCTACATTCAAGCCTCTGTCCCAGACCTAAAACCCCATGGCATTTCCAGATAGAAGTGTCTCTTCTTACTCATGGGGATCCCTTTGATATTGATGGAGTTTATGCTAATGAAGTCACATCTGCTCAGAGAGGGCTCAGTGGGTCCACCCTGTTCATCTTGTCACCTGGCCATCAGGACTGTGCTCCTCATAACACACCAGTAAACCTAAGTGTCTGTGAGCAAGCTCTGTGAGAGTCCTAAGAAAGTATCTGACTCAAGGAGGGGCTCATGGGACCCACTTTATAACTGGTGGGTCAGAAGCACAGGCCACAGTGGGGACTTGCAGTCCACAGCTGCAGTGGGGACAGCCCTGTGGATCTGAGCCTCTAACCTGAGGAATCGGACACGTGGACTCCAGGTAGCAATGTCAGCACTGAGCAGAAGTACAGGAAGCCCCACTGTTATCAGCTACAGGTGTCTGGTTCGAGGAGAGCCTCCACACAGCTGGTCACAGGCGTGTTCTGTGTTGAGACAGACAGCAGAGAAGACAAAGCTGTTTTTCTTTCATAGTAAGTTTACATAAACATCTTGAGTTTTTGCAAGTAACCAAGGGACAGACAACTTCCTTGTGCAGCCCGGAAGTTCCTGTGCAGTCCCAGCATTTGGTCCAAGTCTGTGATCATACACATGATACCTCACAAAGGCATCAGCCCGGAGAAAAAACAAAGGCAGGAGTCACCAAATCCTGTACCCAGGGACTAGGTTTCCCTTAACTGGAAATAGACCCCCCCACTGGCTTAGCCCCACCTTCAAAATGCCCAGAGCTGCCATCTTCTCCAGAAGCTGCATGAGTATGGTGTAAACTCATGGAAGGCCCCCTTTCTCCATCTCTTCCTGACACCCCCCCCCCAGGACAAGGCATGGACAATAGAGCCCTCTCTGCTAAGTGCCTTTGATCTCTGGCAAGCGCAGAGCACACCAGCATATCCACTCCAGTGCCCGCCTGGGCGTAGGGGAAGGCAGCCAGGCTCAGCCCCCCTCACCTGCATGGGGACTAATGCTGCCCATGCATGTGCTTACTTTCAAGAAGACTCCAGAGATCCTACACCGAAACACTTCTTGCTGAGTCCAGATGGTGAAAACGTCTACCTGACCCTCCCAGGGCTCATGGGAGCAGAGGCGCTTCCACTGGGACAAGGTAAGGTGACACTCTCTGGGTCAGCCTCATTTTCAGAGGGGAAGGCTTTACCTTCAGTTACCAAAGGTTCCCAGCAGCAGCAGAGACATCATTAAAAACAGACATGAAACAGCCAGGTTTTCCCACTCCCTGACACAGAGGTTCCTCTGTGGTCCAGACACAATAACCCTATGTGCAAGGAACAAGTTCCCTCTTGCCGCAGCATCTGGAGACAGGAGTTGCAGGGGAATAGCCTGGAAGAGATCTAGTGTGCCAGGCTGGTGCCTTGATCCGGATGATAAAGCCCTTTTGGTATTTGCCCAAACTAAACACTGCCTTTTCTCTTCTTTCCAACCACACTCCTGAGGTGGAGGTGGCTAATTGGTAATCCAGTCAGGCATCCTTGTTATGTGAGTTGGTTCACGGCTATGAGTCACCTGGCTCCTGACAGACAGACAGCAAGGCACTTTCCAAAACCCCTTTTGGCACGGGAACATTTTTGGAAAAGACCTGCCGGCTCTGGACAGTAGCCATTTTGCAAAGGAAAAAAGAATTGAAGTCAGAGGGTGTTGAGTATCAACTACCCAGAACCCATCAGGATGGGCTTGCACGAGCTGTGCAGCCAGCAAGCCCCTTGATGAGGAAGATTAAAAGCTGCACGAATTGGTTATGTCACAACTGGCTTAATGAGGAGGACCTGGATTCAGGGCCAGATTTCCACAGCCCTGGCTTGTCCTCTGTGTAGACTGATGATGTTTCCTGTGTCCATGTTTCCTCACTCAAACTGATAAGATATACAGAGGGGTGCAGGAGGAGAGGGAGAGAGACATGTCTTGACTGAATGTTATAGCCTGCATCTATTGCTGTAAGTTCCACCCACTATAGGGATTTCTAGGGAATATGATACATTTGCTTCTAAATCCAGCATCCAAGAGCTTCCATCACCATTTGGGTTACACCCGAAGATAGATTTTTAAGTATCTTGGGTCTGAATCTGTTGGAGCAGAAGTGAGACAGTTGGAAGGACTCTGTGGTACAGCAGGTGAGCCAGCAGGGAAGCAAATGGGCTGGTCACCTGCTGCCCATTTGTCCCTGCCGTTCCTGAAGAAGTAGTTTCTCTTTGGATGATACAGAAGCAAGTAGCAGAAACAGGAAGGTTTAAGTTTGTCATATGTATAATGCTCCAGACACTTCATGGTCTCCAGCACCCATCACTGTTACCAACACATACAAGTGCTCACTGAAAAGAGTCCAGAGACTGGAACAGACCCGGGGTGGAGTGCCTGGCAAGCACGAGGTTCTGACTTTGAGTTCCAGCAAACTCCCACCCTCCAAATTTCAGAGAGAGAAAGAGAAATAAAACTTAGGCTAAATCAGTGGAGAGTTGCCTGCACTTCTCCCAGTCCCAAGGATGACACACACAACCCCACTTGCTTCTCAAATTCAAAAACATGCATTGTGCTGAAGGAGCCAGCTAGGCATTCTCTCTCTGGCTTTCCCTTGGGACAGTTGCTTGATCTTCAGTCTTTTTGTTTGTTTGTTTTTTGTTTTTTGGGGTTTTTTAAAGATTTATTTATTTATCTGAGTACACTGTAGCTGTCTTCAGACACACCAGAAGAGGGCATCAGAGCCCAATACAGATGGTTGTGAGCCACCATGTGGTTGCTGGGAATTGAACTCAGGACCTCTGGAAGAGCAGTCAGTGCTCCTAACCGCTGAGCCATCTCTCCAGCCACCCCCCCCCCTTTTTTTTTAAAGATTTATTTTGTTTTTGTTTTTTTGAGACAGGGTTTCTCTGCGCAGCCCTGGCTGTCCTGGAACTCACTCTATAGACCAGGCTGGCCTCGAACTCAAAAATCCGCCTGCCTCTGCCTCCCAAGTGCTGGGGATTAAAGGCGTACGCCACCACTGCCCAGCTTGATCTTCAGTCTTGATGGTGATTCAGTGGTGCCTTAGAAAGTGAGGGAAAGGGGTTGGAGAGATGGCTCAGAGGTTAAGAACACTGCTCTTCCTGAGGTCATGAGTTCAAATCCCAGCAACCGCATGGTGGCTCACAAACATCCGTAATGAGATCTGATGCCCTCTTATGGGGTGTCTGAAGACAGCTGCAGTGTACTTACATATAATAAATAAATTAAAAAAAAAAAAGCCAGAGCAAGAGGGCGAAAGGAAGGGAGGGGAAAAGAAATTTAAAAAAAAGAAAGTGAGGGAAAATCTTACATCTTCCTACAATGATCCAAAAAACAGGTCAACCTTTCTGAGGCCCCATTAATGGAAGTGCATATTTTGAAATTATACTCACTTATATTTTATGTGTATGGGTGTGTTTTGCCTGCATTCATATCTATGCACCATGAGCATACACCGCCCACAGAGGCCAAAAGAGGGCATCATAGCCTCTGTTACTGGAGCTTCAGAGACTTGTGAGCAATGAGTAGGTGGCAAGTTCGAGTCCGGGTCCTCTAGAAGAGTAGCCACTTCTTTTACTTATGAACCATCTTTCCAGAATACCTGAAGGGCATTTTTGTTGTTTTGTTTTTAAAATCGTTTGTGAATTTGGGGGTTTTGATCTTTTGATCTTAGGTTTGATCTGGTGCTAGGAACGGATCCAGGGCCTCCACACACTAGGAAAGCAGCCCACCACTGAACTACTTCCCAGTCTCGGTGTACGTGGCCACCACTTCCACTCCCCTCCCAGTATCATCTCCCATGCATTCCAGTGCCAGTGATTTCCCCCTCTCAAAATCTGGCCCAAATATTCAACTTCCAGTCTTTTCTCTCCAGGCCTTTTCCTGAGTCACCCCCCAAATATTTAGACAAGCTCTAAGTTCATCTGTTGTAGGATATTTTGCTGAATAACTTTACCTCCCTCTGGACAACTGCCTAGATGTAATCTCACCCTTTCCTCTGTCTCGGCCCCACCTTTGTGACTTTGGATCTATCTGCATCTGTTTTCAGTTTGGCTCCCTAATGTATGAGTCTTAAGGAACCCCTTCTCTTTATCGTATGTCCAAGAAATGCTTGTTGATTGACTGAATACCCCAGGTGCCACACAGAAGAGTTCTTTGGGGAGCATAGCTAGTTTTATTTTTTTTAATATTAAAAAAAAAATCTCAAGTAAAAGAGGGAATATGATATGTCTGATCTTTCTGAAACTTTAAGGCTCTGTCAACAACTATTTGGAAATAAATTCTCAGGCAATTAGATCATGATAGTTTGCTTTCAAGCAGCAGAGAGAGATGAATATAACCTTTAGAAGAAGAAGAGGGGGAAAAGATGTGAAGGCTGGAGCCGGAATCTGAGCCTCTCGCTCATGCTGGGCTATTGCAACACTCAGAATTCAAAGGCTTACGAAGGGAAAAGTTGGCTTGGGACGGCCTAAGTCAAGCATTGGCTATGCTCTCAGAACACTTTTTCCTAATACAAATCCTCAACTCTCCCCTCATCCCAGTACCAGCAGTACACACTTCCTCTCAGGAGCTCATCTGTGCACAAGCTTCACGCTGAAAGATATTCAAAGATGTCTGTGCCAAGCATTGAGGTTGGGTCCCCAGGTTCCACCTAAACTGGAATTTCCAATCTGTTTCAGAGTTCTTAATTACCATTCAGTTTTGTCCTAAGTGGATTTTAACCCAAAGTGTTTCTCCATTGCTCCTTTGTTTGTTTTACTCTTGCTATTTCATTTTGTCATTTAATTAGCATCCTTACCCCAGCAACATTTTCTGGGGTGGTGGTTTTAATACATGTGCACAAATTACTTGACATGTCTCACTTCAAAAGGACATGGAGGCTGATGTCTAATCAACACTGATGTAGACAGAAGTGAGGTATATTGGAATCAGGGTCTGTCTTAGCCCACTGTCTGTTCCCATAACAGAAGATGTGATCATGTGTGATTTGTAAAGAATAGAGACCTATTTAGATCATGGTTCTAGAGACTGAGGAATTCTAGCATCATCAACAGCAGCAGCAGCAGCAGCAGCAGCAGCAGCAGCAGCATGTGCTGTGGGGAAGTAACATTAAAACAGAGGAAAAGTACAACGGGATGCAAGTTAGTAACCTGAATTCTAAGAACCCACTCTTAAAAGAACTGCCACAGTCCCAGGGGAGTGAGAATACCTTCATTCCCTCAAAAATTACCCCACCCTAGGAGAGCAGTACTCCCTATGACTCTCTGAAGGCAAAGCCCAAACACCCTCGGAAGGTCTCACCACTTTTTAGCTCTTTGGCCCGGCAGAGATCAAATTTCAGCATACATAGGCATTTTGCCAAAAGATGGGTTTTGGTTTGGTTTGTTGATTTGTTTGGTTTTGAAGACAGGGTTTCTCTGTATAGTCCTGGCTGTCCTGGAACTCTCTCTATAGACCAGGCTGGCCTCGAACTCAGAGATCTGCCTGCCTCTGCATCCACCCACTGGGATTAAAGGTGTGTGCCACTGCCAGGCATGAGTTTTTGTTGTTATTTTGATTTGGTCTCACTGTCATTCTGGCTGGTTTGGAACTCACAAGGTCCTTCTGCCTCACCTTCCCAAAGACCAGCACCCAGCTGGGCCCTTAGATTACAAACTCCTGACATGAGACTGTGAAGGCTCTTAGCAGAATCCCAGATCTATGTCACTCCCAGCTTCCCACCCCAAATTTGTGAGAGATAAGAAAGTTTTATTGCTTCAGTTCACTAGTGTGAGAATAATCTGTGTTGCAATAATAGATAACTCATTTCCTCTGTTGAGCCTGGGTTGAGCGCAGGGGTCTTTCCATGTTGGTGGGTGTGCCTCAGAGTGTGTTTTCCTAGAGTAGCTTATCTCTTAGCATCTGTTGTCATAAAGCTGGGGCCTGGAAATGTAAGGAATGTCTTTCAGTAACTGCAGGAGGAAAGACAAAGGGCCCTGAGTCAAAGGCCCACACAATCGTGGGCCTCACCAGCTCTTACCGCCTGTGGCTTTGGTGATCATGGACAAACAGTTTCACTCCTTTGAGCCTCAACCTCTTCATAGAAAAAGGAGAGCTGGTTTGACATCCAGT